TATATCAGCTGGGATAGCCCAGCTGGATGAGACTGGAGACAAAATGGATTTGGGGCTGTCAGTGAGGTGACAGAAGCTCAACGTCCACCTCTGTTTGAAGAAAGAGATTGCTTTGTCTTGCGCTAGTGATCACAACCTGACTGAGAAAGAAGGTTCTTTGCAGGGTCTTTCACTCATCCTGAGAACGGGCACCTTGCTCTATCCTGCTGCTCCAGTACAAAAGGGTCCAGTGGCTAAGCTTGCTGTTAAAAATTTGGACTTTGCCCAGGACGCATCCCCAAAATAGCCCTAGCAAAAGAGAAGAATCAACAATGTGGCATACTGGTCTCAAAAAAGAAAAATGTTCTCAATCCCAGTAAGACAGAGCCCGAGCGCTATTAAATCCCTTGCTCTAAGTGAATTTTACCCATACTCTACTTTTTTGACACATCCGTTTTGTAAGGGGAGGTCTCGGGTTTATTAACCACCCATCGTGGAATAGCAACACTTCCTGTTTAATCTATAGAAGAACAATAGGAGCATGGAGACAGTTGCAATGTGCATTCAACCGCACTGGGGTTCAGCTGCTTCATCTGTAGAAGGAATACCTGACAAACTCTAAAGTCCTTCTGGCTCTAAAACTTGACTTCTGCGACACAAGCCATCAAACTGCCGGCTTACTGCCACAAGCACTGACTGTTCTGCTGATTCCGGATCAAAACACACACAAGACAGATCTTGCTGTTGAAGAACTCAGTGTCCCAGGGGTTAACTATCAATTGGAATAAACTTCCTTCTTCTCATTTAAGATATTAAGGCACTAAGCCAAAGGTGTTCAGGAAGGATTAATTTCAAAAATCAAAGTACAAGGTATTGGAGAAATATTTTTGTTTTTAACATAAAGAACTGCTTCCTAGAGAAAATGGAGCAACTGGTTGATTATTTCGAAGTTGCTTTGTTTTTCTTCTTTAAAAAGATATACAGATTTTACTTGAAGAGTCTCTTCCAGCACCACAAATAGACATTTTATCACTTTGCATAAACAATACAAGTATGAGAAGGAGCGATCTTGGGCTATTGGAAAAAAACATCCAATCAGCAAATCCCATCATCGTTGTCTCTTGTCAGAAGAAAAGAAGGCAGAGGGAATGCCCCCCAAATTTGTTTTCGTGTTTGGTAATTAGGAACAGTGAGGTAGCTTGGAAGAGAAGTAAGGTTACAGAAGTATGGGCATCACGCTGGAATCTGCCTCCTGTGCTGCCCACGACAGAAAGGCACCTTCTGCTGACTGTGGGGATTTTACTATTAACCCTCTGCATATGATAGAGGCTCACCCAACATCGCTGAGGTATATACACTTTGACGTTTTCACAGTCGTGGTGAAGGGTTGGTGTGAACGATGCTGCGTGCCCTGCCTTGGTTCCCCTGGGGACGGAGCAAAACTAGCTGGGCTTCATAAGCACCGATGCTGCACCCTTCAATGTGAGTGTAAAGGATCCGGCAGATACATATAGATCACTTCAGTGGTTTCAGCTGCCAGACAAAGGAAATGACTCAGCCCGCACCCAGAGTGCAAGGAGCACAGGAGAAAGAAATGTCCAAATCAAATGGCGTCAATGCACGTTTTCTCAAGGCAATTAGCCCACTTTCTCTTCCAGCGTTCTGGGGTTACTGTTGTGGTTATTGTTTGGCTTTGCTGCTTAAATTTTATGTGCAATTGTGTAACAGATGAGTACCATTAAAATAGAGATCTCCATCAAACCACACCCGTGAATACAACATATGACCCACATTTGTGTTGTAAAAAAATTAATACCTAATAATTCATTTGTAGTCTATAGGACTATAGGGAATTAATAACTCTGTTCTGAGTTTATGAAAGGACTTCTGGCCCAGCTGGATTGAGATCTCTGTAGACTCCAAGAAAGGAAGAGATGAACTCCCTAATATATACTTAAAAATGAGATTTTAGGTATGCCCCAATTGAAGTTGCCGATATCTAGACTTTTTAAATGGCAAAATTCGAGATAAATTCATCAGAACAGAACCTTTGTCCTTTTCAGTGCCTCTGCTTTAACTGCTTACTAGACAACCCAGCTGATATTGGATGGTTAGCTTGGCCCCATCACTCCCAAGTGGGAGATGAAAATTTATACCTTTGTGAAATCACAAAAGAGTATGTGTCAAGAGCTTTGAATAAACATCTCCGAAGGAAGGAAATTCATGGGCTTTATCATAAGATAAAGACCTTTAGTTGTGGTTATTTGGGCCTCACAGTTTCTTCTGAGAGACTTACTCCTGACCAGCTGGGGTGTCATTTTATGTAAATGGTGCTCCTTTTACATTTTTTTGGTATTGAGGAGTCTAATAAAATAGGTTGTGTCCTATTCCCTGCTTTGACAAAAAAAAAAAAAAAAAAAAAAAAAAAAAAAAATTGACCTGAATTCAAAGCCATGGTCAATGGGTTCCTGGATTGTTGAACCAGTGTGAACACTAAGGGATGGATGTTGGCCCCAGAACCTTAGGTAGAAAAATCCAGAAGGCTCACTTTTCATGGGTGAAATGCTTTCCTACTCCAAGGCATCATCCAACACGATTTCATTTTGCTATTGCTGAACCCAATCCAGGCTCTAACCCAGGGCTCGATACTTTACAAATGAGAGAGGCCTGAAGACATATTCCCAGTAAGCTAGAACAACTCAGTGCAGTCACCCTCAAATACCTAGAGTGGGCGAAGTATAGCAGCAACACCCAGCAATGGAGATCGTTTGGAAAGCAGACATTCTTCGTATTTACTGAATAATTACTTAATCCTTAGAGACGAAGTATTGGAAACCTCCTTCTGACCTGCTCCTTTTGAACTAGGCTGCAGTACTGCCAATTCTTGGCATGGAACAATCAGACAGCACATGATCTCCTTCTGAAAGCTCATAGCTTTAAAAATTCTTCACTTTATGGCAAAGTTTGTATGTGTGTCTGTTGATAAATACATGCATTAAACACACACTTATTTTGTGTTGATAAATCCATGCATTAAACATACACTTATTTTGTGTACTAAGTGCCGTGAGCTGACCCAGGTGTCGGGAGACATCAGTGCACATCCCCACTCTCGTGGATGTGACATGCTGGTTCAGAGGCGTCTCACATAACCTGAGTCAACTGAGAGCTGGATGCATTTCACCAGAGAGCGCACTTTTTTCCATAGCTTGTCATAGTCAAAGAGGCCATTTGGGAAGAAAATTAAAACCGTTTCTAGTACCATGAAAATCTTTTGCAGTTTTAGTGTCCTAAAACCTGTATTAAAAGCATGTCTTTCAAAAGACCACCTTTTTTACAGCAAATGAACATATTTCTAAGCGATGAAAAGGATGAATATTTCTAAGCATGAATGGAAATGAGGAGACATGCTCTTATCCACATGAGTTTCCACATGGTAGATTCATTCTATTTTGAAAACGGCATAAAAATTCTACACTATTGTATAGTGTGGAATATGGATGACCTGACCCGAAGGATCAAATGATCTAAGTCTTAAAAGTGGCATCATTTCCTAACGAATGACCTGTTTAAGCAAAATAATAATAATATAATAATAATAATAATAATAATAATAATAAAAAATTATCTCATTTAATTCTCTATGGCAAATTATTTTACACACTACATCCTAAAGGTCCCAGCTGTGCTGAATGATACTGTACATACTCAGCGAAAACAGCACCTTAAATTATTGTGACATTTAGTAAAAGGGTCTAATTACTTTTTGAAGCTGGTTTTCTTTTTTTGAGTATATAAATAATTCTAAACTATTTCTTAACCTGTAAAATTTCACCTTCCTAAATGAGTAAGATTATTAAGAGATTATAGTCATTTCTCACCTTATCCTATAATCACACACATTTTTATTTACCACAGATACATATCAACATCTGTCACTATAAATAATATTTTTCAGTTGTAAATTTCATTCCATAGTTAAGGAAAAAAATTAACTTGTTTAAAATATTTATTCTCTCTATGGGATGGTCTCTCATCCTCCTGTATACCTTTTAAGAATATAGTTATCTAAAAATGAGAGTTTCATTTTCTGGAATACCATATTTTCCTTTATGCTCCTCAAATAATTTCCTCAGCTCCTCCATGTAGGTCTGATGCAGCTCCTCAACCTGCTCCGAGGTTGGGTTCGGAGTCTGATGAACAGGGATTGGGTGGCCAACTGCAAAAATAGAGAAGAATACATCAGACGTCAGAAACCAAAGCCACTCCACCAGACCTCTGCCTCCCATGGACAGTCCTGGAAAGATCCGCCAGTCAGAACCCACCGGGCCTGCTAGCTCCGATCCTTCTTTCATTTCACTGGCTGCCTACACCGGTCACACCATCCTCCTTGATAACAAATAAAGAACTTTCCTTCTCAGCAGACACTGGGTTGTTAGTACCCTGGTGGTTTTGACTTTGAGTCAAACGAACTACTGTGCCAACTGCAGCTGTGAGGTGAGAGAACACAGCTGTGTGTGTGTGTGTGTGTGTGTGTGTGTGTGTGTGTGTGTGAGACCAGCGTTCTTCCTCTGGTACAGCTGACAGCCAGACCACAGCACCCTGTTATGACTGGCTGTGAAATCTTGAATCATGAGGCAACAACCCTCTACTCTGACTCTTTTTGATGCCATCCTAAAAATTTAAAAGACTAGATATCTTCATAGCTAAATATCTGTCCTAGAACACACACACTAGCAAGGATTCTACTGCCTGTAACGGTGGGAAACAAAACCAAAAGTCTCGATAGAATGATTATTAAGTAAGCCACAGAAATCATTCAATGGAATCCTAGGCAACAACTTTTAAAAATGAAATGCTTTTGTAACTATGTATGATAATGAATGCTAACTAGATTTATTGTGATCATTTTGCAATATATACAAATATCAAATCATTGTGTTGTATATCTAAAATTGTTATATGCCAATTAACTTTCATTTAAAAAAATAAAATAATATGTGTGTATACACATACACAGAGATGTCTAAAATGTATTAAGTGGGAAAAACAAATAATATAGCATGATCCCATTTATGAAAAAAATATTATATTTCTAGGTGCATTATAAGCTTTTAGCATATTGAAAAAGTCTGGAAAGACTGATAACTGTTACACTGAGGGAGGGAGGACAGGGGAAACTTGCAGTTTATCTGCATTGTATGAATTTTCATTTTACAATGAGTATACACGTTTATGTTTTACCTATATAATTTAAAATGAACTAATTTTTTAAAACATGCAACTTCTATACGTATTTTAAAAGGCATTTATGTAACAAATAACATTTATCTACTTGTCTCAGATTCTGGGAAAATACAGCTAGGCACTCATGGCACATGACTTTGGCGCCTGCTCTCCTGGGTCCTCGCTGGTACTCATTGCGCCCTCTGCTGGTCCAACGCTGCTATTGATGCCAAGAGTTTAAGTAAAACACAGCATAGCATGTTCAGTGACCAGCTGGGCAGCAAACTGCTTCTTATTACCTTTCATTGCTTGGGCATGAGATCGAGTGAGGCTGTCGGTAATAGAATACAACTCGTAAAAGAGATTTCCTTTGGCCTAATCTGAGTCTCCCCGTGCTACAACCAAGATTCAAATCCATATCAGCAAGGTGGTTAGTTAAGGAAAAACCAGTAAGATTACATATGTATTATATATAATACATATATAATATATAGTATACACACACACACACACACACACATACACTCACCTATCGTTACTACATTAATGTTTTTAAATTGTTAAGTTTTTAACCAGATATAGCTTCAAGAAACACATCGTTTAATAGCTTAGATGTCAAATTTATATATAGTAGACATCAGATCTTTTTAATTCTCCATAAAAAACTAGAAACATAATCGTCTTGCTGTCAGTTGTGGTGGAAATGTGGGATGGGGTGGAACTGGGAGCCGGTGTTGCACAAAAAGCACCAGGCCAGACCAGGTCCAGCACTAGCTCACAAGCAAGTACATTGAGGTAGTAAGTAACTTCTTCCCTGGCCTTAACGTTTACAGGTATAAGATAAAAAAATAGAATTGAAATGACCTTGAAGCTTCTTTCCAGCTCTGAACTTTGTTGTTGTTTGAAGAAAAATTCGAGACATTTACATGCAAATTGAGAATCTGCATGCCAATCTGCTAACAAATTCGTGGTTTCCTAGAAAAAGCTGGTTTTCTTAGTTTTCTTAGCTGTCCCAAGGAGAGAGATCTCACACAATCATTCAGGGTGGGGGACTTATCAAGAGACACAGCCACTTAAGAAGATGAAGTGTGTTGTTCCCAGCTTACTTTAAGTCTTGTGAATTCTGAATTATTAGTCTTATTTTCTATGAGCTATCCTATTCTTAATTTTGATTTTGATTCTGTTCTCTTCTTAATGGTTTTATTATATTATAGATAGTTCTACTAGAGAACTCAAACATGCCCCTACGCACTGAATTTGTCATCATAAGTTTTCCCTTTAAAGTGAGACACAGTTATTCTTGCCTTTCTCTTGTTTACTGTAGAGAAAGTGAGATACGGAAAGTTCCTGAACTACACAAAAATAACAGAGGAAATGATCATTTAAACCCAGTACTTCCGCCCCTCATTATAAAACCCGAAATTGGATTAGAGGGTAAGAAACTCTTCTCAACTGCTTTTCAGAGATAAAGGAGGCAACAAACAAAAATCTGCAAAGCTGAGGAGGGTTCCCTGAGTCCTAGAAGACCAGAATTCTCTCTCTCCACAAAAGGAGATTTTTACTACTAAGGAGAAGAAAAAATCCTTTTTAACAGAGGACTAAGTTAGCTGCAAATAGCTGCATAATTCTTTTTACAACAGAAAAAAAAAGCCACATCAGGCTCCTCTTGGAAAGAGAACTGCTTGCCCTGCAGAAATCAGCCAACATCTACTTGTGGCAGGGTCAGGCATCACAGCCTCTGTTTATGTTTCTTTCAGTGGTTTCTGTAGCTGGCATGCTCGCCTGTTCCATTTCCAATTCCGTCCAACAGTTCGAGGTTAGTTGTGCATCTATTGTCCTTCTACAGCACTCTCGCTCTCATTTCTAGGGTGCTGTGCTGCATTTATAGAAGATGAAGAATGAGCAGCTTCATGAGCCATTGTACACACAGCTGGAAAAAAAACTGAAAATGGGCATTATTTTCTTCCCATTGAGGCAAAGAGTAGATCTTTCGTGTAAGAAATTTTTGTTCTACTATTTTATAATTATGAAAATTCCAGACTGTATCTCTAAGGATCTCACACAGGAATCACTCCTTCTCTAGATGCTAATTGCCTGTACGCTACAGAAAAATAGGCACGGAGCTGTGTGGCAGAGTGGGGTTGTGAGAAGTCGAAACGTGGGTGCCTGATGAAACCTGAGTTCAAGTCCAACCTCTGCCTACGGTGGAGACTTGAAAGATGCCCGATGTTAAGTGCGTGTTTGTGTAAGCACGTATATGGATGGTACATACATACACACCCATGAACACTTATTAAGCACTTAATATATCATACTTGCACCATACTAATCCCCTTAACGTTATTCTCGCCTTTAATCCTGGCTGTATAATTAAAATTTAAATTAAAGGGTTCTCTTTTCATTCCAGAGAATCGTTTAGCCTGCTTTTTTTCCCATCAAAATATAATGACTTGAAACATAATGATCTACTTTTATCCTTATGTGGTTTCAAACTTTATTTCAGTTCTATCGAAATAAAGTACATTCCCTTCTCATTTTATTTTTTAAAAATTTCAAACCTATAGAAAAAAATAATGCAATAAGCACTACTATCCCCTTCCTCTAGACTCACCAATTCTGAACCTTTTGCACACACACATATGTATATACCTAGGTATTATTATTATTTTTATTTCTGTAGAACCATTTGAAATTTGTGGACACCAATGATTCAACCGTATTAATCATCCCTAAATATTTCAGCACGTCAGAGCGAAAACACTATCTTATATTCCACCACCATTATCGTACCCAGGGAATTCAACTCCTACACAATATTATTTTGTGCTGAAGTCACATTCCAGTGTGATCCGTTGTCTCAATCATCTCCTTCACAGCTGTTTCCCCCCAATCCACAGCAGCTGCTGTGTCTCTTCCAATGCTCTTTTTGGTCTTCCACATCATTAATAGTTTTGAAGAGTCCAGACCAGTCGTTTTGTACAATGTCCCACAATTGTATTTGTTTGATTATTTCCTGATGATTCGACTCAGATGAACATTTCGGTGGGAATACTTACACAGGGAAACTGCAACAGACCTGCTAGCTCTCAACAATCTGGTCAGGAAGCCTTCTGCTCTCTACACCAACCTGCATTCGCCTAGCACCTGGGAGCACAAGGGGGTGCTTTTCCAGAATGATGTCATCTAGCCCCCAGTGACTCTGAGAGAAGACAGGACAATGATAACTCCCTCCTCTTTAGAGCTGGTAAAAACTGAGGCTCAGAGAAGATAAATGAAACATTCTAAGCCACTCCGAGTCAGACCTCAAACCCACACTGCTTCCTTCAGTACATTTGGCGGATGCATCGTAAACGCCCCCTTCACGTCACTGTCCACTGTGTGTGTGGCTGGTGCCTGAGCGTTAGCCGCGGCCATCACAGGGGGCCTACCGATAAAAAGACCCGATTCCTTAATGGCACCGTTTGCATTTTCTCATGTCGCCATAAGAATGAAAATGCAATAAACACTGCTATCCCATCCGTAATTGGAAGACAGGCTCAGGAGTTCATGGGAAGCCAGTGGCAGTCTCAAGGCTAGAGAAGATGAGAACGGAGCCCTTCCTGAGCCACCTGCAAACATAGCTGGTGAACCTCTCTGGGTATCCGTAATTCAAATCATCTAACACTGGGACTTTATGGTAAATGAATTAATATAGAAGGAATGCTAGATTTAGAAAATCACCAGTTTGCAGCCATGACTGTAATAACTGATTGAGGTAAGAACTATCAACAGATGTTATAAACATCAGGTAAAGTGTAATGAAGAACAGGGTAATTAGACAGTCTCTAAGGAACATTAGCCCCAGGTTACTTCTTAATGAAAAGGGAAAAAATATATTGATGAATATAAAAAATAAATATAAATTTATATAGATAAATCTATAACTTTATAGTAGAGAAATCTGGCAAACACCTCACCCACGTGATCAAAGTCACCAACAATGAGAAAAAGTGGCATCAAATGTCTCCTGATGAGATGTACTGAGGAGGACACAATCCCATTCTGTGGAATTCTTGCCAAATATAAATCCCCAGAATATAATCACGTTGAAATGTACCAACCCAAGGTAAGGGATATGCCATGAAACAATCGACCTGCATTCTTCGAAACGCCTCATGTTTGTCATAGATAAAGAAAAGCTGAAAAACGATTCCAGCTTAAAGTACACTAAAGAGATGCAAAAATTAAACGCAATGTATGATTTTGCTTATGGAAATATACCACTCCCCTCTCCCCACCAAAAAGCCACAACTGACGAGGAAATTTATTGTGGCAATTGGCAAAATATGAATACAGACTGTACACTAGTTAATCGTACTTTATCCATGTTAAATTTCCTGAACTGCACTGACATAATAAAAGACGATCATCTTGTTCTTAAGAAATATACAGAAAAGTAATTGGGAGCACATGGTCACAATGTCTGTACTATTCAAACAGTTCATAACAAGAGTAGGAAATGTATTTATTATACCATTAGAGACAGAAAGACTGTAGCCAGGTGTTAGCAACTGGTGAATCTGGGAAAAAGGCACACAGGAGTTTTCATTGTATTACTCATGAAACTTCTCTGAACCTCTGAAATTTTTCAACATGAAATTTTAAAAATTAAAAACAACATACACCTGAAATTTCCTCCTTTAAACAGCAAGTTGCCCTTGTATTTTATGTTCTTGTCCAAACATGCAATGTCCTGTCATAGCACCTGTACTGGCTCTATTACTTTAATATAAGTTCCCCTTAAAATTTTTAAAGTGTAATTGTTAGATGGCTGAAGAGTTAAGGAGGCCTAACTAAAGACTAGTTTGTTTTTTCACCAATGTGTCTTGAGCTCCTACTCTGTGGGCACTGGGAACACAGCAAAGAAAAAACGAAGCACAATTTCTGCCCTCCTGGAGCCCTGTAATACAGAAACAAGTAAAGCAAAGACCATGATTCTTTACACATCATTCGGAAGGTCTAAACGTATTTCCAATTGCCGCCCCTGGGCGTCAAGATGGATGTGACATTAAAACCAGTTTCTCTCCATTATTACGTAATGAAAGGCAATATACGTGAACGCTGTATTCTATTTTGATAAACTGATAATAATATGTATAAAATATCTAAATTATATACTATTTGTGAAATGTGTAAAGAAAATATACGGTAGCTGCTTTACAAATTATTCCCCATTAAGAATGACCCTCAGCAAAGAGAAAAGAGGGTTTTGATGGAGGATGCAGAGAAATCTGAGGGGTTAGCAAAGTTGGGTGGAGGAAAACAGGCAGAGAGGATAACTCTGACCCAATGCTGACACTTTGGGATCTAGTAGGAACAAGTTTTAAAGAGGTTTAATAAATAGTACATTAACGAAACCATTACAGCATTAGTGGTTCTCACTCGTGTTAGACAATCAGTGACACTAAAGTGAACACTCTGGTTGAGGTCACTGCGGAAGTGAGGTCTGAAAGATGTGATGGAAACTATTTATAGGATGGAGAATCAGGGCATCGCTGGCCACTTATGAACGAGAGGATTACAGATGAAGTGATCATTCAGGATGAGTTCAATTAATATTTATTGAGTTTGTATAATGCGAGGTAGAACTTATTTAAGTTAACATACTTAATTAACTAGGAAGAGAAGCAGAGGGGCCACAAAATAACTTGCTGCTCTAGATGCTGCCTGAATCGCACCTGGGGTATGTCAGGGGTCAGCAAAGAAACAATCCTGGGTTTGAAGTGCATGGATTTAAAATAGAAATGAACAAAGTAACTTAGATCACTGTTTCAACATCATATCCTGTTTCATTCTCTGTTGCATCTGACTGATACATAGCTTTGTTTTTGTTTATGGGATTTCAAATGTCTTATCCTCAACGTGTGATATTTCAAGTCAATAAACAAAAGTCTTTAAATACACATCGTCTAAGAGTCTGGTTCACACAAAATCAAGCTGCTCTCAATCATCTGACTCCCACTCTGCCACCCCAAGATCACAGCAGCTGAATCTTTGAAATGTTCATTTCTTAGCTTGGGTTTCAAAAGACCTTAACTAATAGTGGATACTGAGATGCCGGACTAGAAATGGTGTTTCTGAGGTGATTGTTTGGGGAGGATGTAGTGAAGTAAATGTTCCTTTTTCTGAGTCTTTAACAGAAAGTACTTTGGACAGGCGTGAGTGAAAACCAGAGCTATAGTTTTCTAGTTTTTACGATGAATTCAAATTTGGTCATTTCCATTTAACCCTTAACCAATTAATTACTTATCAATTGAGGAATAACCAGGCTGTATCGAATGACAAACTACTTCACTTTACTTTAAAATATATATGTTTAACCCAACCAGGTGATAACTGTAATCATTTAACTTCCCAAAATATACTTGCTTCCAACATTTCTAACTTATTTTACGGCACAAACTTTTAGTTCCTAAAATCATGTCTTATAATTTTCGTTACATTCTTCAAAATACCAAGTATAATACTTTGCACATAAGAAATCAAAAATGACTAATTAATAATATGCCCCCCAAAGTTACCAGCTTATCCTGAAAAACACAATTACGAACTTAAACTTATCTCAGTATTTCTGTTACAGTAACTAATCGAGTCTGCTAACATTCCCTCTGAGTTAAATATAGTATTTAAAATTAAAGTCACGTAACTACTTGTGAAATGCAAAGCTCTGATAAACTAACAGTAGTAAAATCCCATTCTAATGAAACAGACCTGAAAAAAAATCTGAATTTCATTTAATGAGCTATCCATAGTAAAACCAACACCTCTAGTTTCACACGAAGTATATAATTTTGGTTAATTCTGCTATTAGTAGACTCATCACTTTCTCATTTTCAACTCCTCGGTTCCTTTTCAACCTGAGTAGCTAATTACTTGCCTCCTCGGTCCTTTTATTAACATGGTCTGTCACCCTCCTCCCTCATCTCCGTCCCCGCAAACATGCGACTTTTAAAAACAAAAGTAGTCTGTATCAGGATACGTTAACCATAGCTAGCTGCAGAAAGAATGTCTAGCTGTAGAAACTGATGCCTGTGTGAACCGAATGTGAGGAAGACAGCTGTTATACAGAAATCTGCATTTATTAATAGACAGTTGTAAACTTGTTCATTGAAGAATTGCTGTGTTATAAACTGCCGGTCCAGAGAAATGGATGCATCCCAGAGGATTCGACATTTTATGTCTAAAACTGGGTTCTAAAACTAGTTCAATAGCAGTATGCTTGAAAGTAATCAATTCCCATTCATAATGGAAAATACAGTCATTTCATCAATAAAAGACAAACTGGAAATGAAGCTCAAATAACATCTATAGGATTATTATTTTAGGAAGTTCTTACTCAAACCCACTTGCACTAGCACATTAGCCAATAACAATACACATTGCTCAAAATGAGAGAATATTTTTACTTATTTTAACAAGCGTTTTAGTCTTTAATACATACCAACAGAGTAAATAGGTTTCCTATAGGGTATTAGGCCAAAATTGTATTGAAAAATTCCTCTGGCATGGAACAGCGGCAAAGCAAACCCCATGACCTTCTGCATTCTGTTCTGCAGAGTACGAAGCCACGAGCCCTCGGGGTTGCTAATTTGTTTAAACAGTTCGTTTTCACCAAAAGAGAACACTGGGACCAAATAGGCACTGCGAATAACAAAAAGGAAGAATAAGAATTTTCAACAGAAAGGATTTAAAGATTTTATTCTGCCTAGATGACTTTCACAACAAATTTCTAACGATTCTCTAGCGCCCCCCAGCCTCCCTTATACTGCTGCCTGCATGTTCCCCACGTTAAAACTGACGTATACTTGAAATTCTTTGGGGAGGTCCTGGAGCAGTCTAGCAATTTGTGCCATTTTACTCTATTGAAAATCAAAGTTCCAGGGAGCTTCTTTTTCACCTATAGCTTTGGCCATAGTTCCTTTGTTCATTTGGCTGGAAATTTTGTATGTTTTTTTTTGTTTGCTTTGTTTTTAAAGACAAATTCGTTGCCAGATGCCATAGCATTGAGATACCTTGGTGGGAAGGCCACATTCCATGCCCCCATGTACATCCAGCCTGCTTCCATAGTAAGGTCGATGAGGAGGAGGTCTGTCTTTAAGGCCTAGAAAAATGACTTCTTTGTGCTCATTTAATAATGTCTTACCTTCCCTGAGCCAGTCTCCCGAACGAAAGCCACTTACCCACAGGTCAAAGCAATTTTCACAAATCCTTTTCGCTGGCGGATGAACAGAGTGAATTTTCCTGGATGGGCATCTAAGGACTCCTCTGCACCCCCGAGGACAATGACTGAAATGTTCCCACCTGTCTCCTTGCTCAGCACGTGGGACACACTTTTCTTGGAAACTGAGACTGGCCCTTAGTGCATAAAATAAAAGGTGCAACTAGTTATCCTTTTTTAAAAAACGTAAACATTTCTATCATAATATTCTATGTATCAGTGAACACCTAACAAAATTTCTTACACTGCTTATATTTGGAGCACCTTGCAAGTTTATAATTTTTTCATAGGCAAATCTTTAGTAATATATTCCATGAATACGAGCTAACATTTTGGCAGGTAATGGATTAGGTCTTTAAACTGTTGCTGGATCATTATTAGGTCGTCTGCTTGTTAGGGTAGATTGTGTACTGCTGGATGTTACGGACTCCATATTGCATTCTAAGTAAAAGACGCCCCTGGAGTTGTTCAGTGCACAACCTGCATAGCTGTACGTGAGGGTCTTGATCACTGCCCTGGCGGGTCATTGCTTACAACTGCAAAGTGTATCTTCCAAGAGGTTGCAGTGGAGCTTCTGAACACACATTGTTTTCAGATATTCTATATAGAGTTTTGTTTTCCAAACCTGGATTTATAATGTAAATGGTTTCAAAAAAAAAAAAAAAAATCAGACATTTGACAAAGAACCTCAATCACTTGCTCGATCTCTACATGATTCCAAAATGTCTAGTCTGACTTGGTTGGTTATTTAAGACAGTTACATAATTGTTCAGTCTTTGTATCAGGCTTTTCCATGTAAATATAACTTCAAAGATTCCTTTTCAGATTTTTAAATGTACTACGTACTCTTAGAAGAAAATATTATGAACTCCTGGAAGAAAAGAGAAAGATGAAAACACAAACCACTCATGACCCATGTTTCAGAGATAATAGCTTTTCGATATCTTATTGTTTCCTCTCATTCTTGGTCTTACCTATTTTTTTAATTAAAATGACTGAGGTGTTATCTATTTTTTTTTTTTTTAGTTATAAAAAATGTGTTAGATGGGCTTTATAAAGACATACCAAACCTCATCTCTGGAAGGAAATTACAGGCTGTGGGTTCCTATTACTGGGGGAATGTAAAATTATGATAGCATTCTGAATGACCGACTACTCTCTTAAGAGAAGAGGCAGGGGTGGTGGGTTAGAGGGTAGAGAATCTGAGCCCAGATGGGTTTGAACTTTCCCTGAGTTCAGAGTATGGCCATCTTGCCTGCATGCCCTGAGGGCTGGATCACTTCCACCAGAAGGAGGGTCTCTTGGATGTTCAGACACTGGCCCTTCTAGTTTGCCTCTGTCACTTCTGTGTCCTCTTTAGGTTCTCTTTCTTTGGGCCATCCTAAAATGCTGCTATTTTTTAGGGTTCTATTAGAGACTGCATGTCTGTGTACCCCCTAAATTCATATGCTGAAATCCTAACCCCCAATAAGATAGTATTAGGAGGTGAGGCCTTTCGGAGGTAACCAGGTCTCCTAAGAGTAGCGCCCCCATGATGGGATTACCGGTATTAAAGGAAGAGAAAGAGGGATACCACGCAGTCTCGCCCTCGCTCCACCAGGCGAGAATACAACGGGAAGATGTCTGCCTGCCAGCTGGGAAGCAAACCTTCACCAGACCCTGGATCTGCCAGCATCCAGAACTGTGAGAAATAAATTCCCACTGTTTAAGCCACCCAGTCTGCGGCAATCACTAACAGCAGCCAGAGCTGACTAAGCCGTTGTCTCTACTGTCTTCTGAACTTACTTACATACATGGATTCACCTAACTTATGTGCGCTGAGTTCTCCTAAATCTATCTCCTGGACGACCTTCCTGCTAAAGCTTCAGGCCCACACCTCTAATGGCCCAGAGGACATCTCTACCTTGACAGCTCAAAGACACCTCAAACTCCGTGTGCCCAAACCCAACGCATTAAATTCTTCTTCAAAGCTGTTCCTCTTCCAACATTACCTATTGAGGTGAACAAAACCATCATCCATCCAGTCATGTGACTCAGAAACCAAGTTCCACATGTATCGTTCTCTTTTTAGGCACCACGTTGACTCATTATTCATTCATTCAAAAGCATTTATTGAGTACCTGTTACAGGGAAGACACTTGGCTAACTCCTGGAGGATGACAATATACAGTCGTTCCCTTCATGAGGTTGAATCAATCACTAAGTCTTGTTGAATCTGTTTATCAACTATTTTTATATCGATCCCCTCCTCTGTATTTCCACTGCCATCACTGTGCCAATCGACCCCTTATCACCTCTCCCTTGATCATTGCAATAGGCCCCTTCCAGCACCCCCGTCTCCAATGCATTCATCAAGCCCACCTCCCTTCAACTTGTCTCCAGGCTGCTGCCTGCATGATCTTTCTAACATGCAAAATCCAATCAGGTTCTTCTTTGTTCAAAATCCCTCACAAATTCCCGTGGCTTACCTACAAGATAAAACCTCAAGTCCCCTTCATGGTATATAAGGCCGCTGTGATCCGATCTCCACTACCGGCCCAGCCTAAATGGAGACAGAAGGGGACTCGAACCTTGAAACAGAGTGTTTTTGAAACTCTAATCCCATGTCTGACACCTGCTGAGTACAGATTCACCGAAATGGGCCAAGAGGAATGGTTTGGAGGTGGGGCTTATGAGGACTTAGAGCCACAGAAATCTCTTAGGTGAGAGCAAAACAGACACCTGACAGCAAAGGACCTCTGAATCCCCAGATTCCTCACTACATGAAGTCTGATGCACATGTCTGTCTGTCTGTCCTTCACACCTCAAGAGGCAGGTGCAGAGCAGCAGAACAGCCTCGGACCAGGGACCGACCTAGGAAGCAGGTTTTGGGAGGCTTAGGTTATAACAAATGAAAAGATCTCATGATGACATAAGCCAGTGATTGCAGACAAGTCTCATCTTGGCCATGGAGTCACTTTATGCAGAGACTCTAAAGTGGATTAGTTCTATCTGACATGACCGTGGGGAGGGTGAACTTACATCTTGTGTGCCATGAATTTGCCATACCTGATCTCAATCACACTACTCAAACTCACCCATAGATATACTTTAAATCAGTAAACTATATACTGTAAATATATTTCTTTGCTTTTTTGAAATTTTGCTTTTTTGAAATTTTTTAAAGTTTCCCTCTGATTTTCTCCCTTTTACAAAACTAATCCAATGTCTGCAAAACAAGGAAGAGAAGGGATATTTTTTCTCTACAGTAGTTTGGGGGTTTCAGTGCACCCCCTAGGGGCCATACTCAGTGGCAATCTAGATCGGACCTACAGTCCAGGGTTTTACACAAGGTCCATAAACAGAACCTAAAAAACCAAGCCACGGATCCTGGTCCTTCAGTGCTTAGTGATTTCCTACTGGGTATTAATGACAACAGAGACTTGAGGAATTAATAGGAACTAATAAAAACCTGGAAGACCATGAAAAATGCTATCTCCGATATGTTACTTACTGATCCTGAAACTGGGATTTTTCAAAAAGAGACTATCAACTTTTCTTTATATCCAAGAAATGCAAAGACAATAATAATTAACCTACACAATGATCACAAACATAAAGCACTTTGTAAGTTACTATAGCTCATGGTTAATCAATAAGTTAGTCAAGATGGAAAACCAAACAAAGTGAGCCTCTTAATTTGACATGAGAGCTATGAACACAAGTTTAGCCTTTTCTACACATTCATATAGTGTCTTTATAGCATTTCAGCTGAATTCTGTTCTCATAATTATAGTTGCACTACCCCCAAGAGTCTCTCACTTATTTAGAATAGCAAAGTAGAATGGACTCTTATTTCTAATACATTATATTTAATCTAGGAAGATAAAAATAGCAGATTGAGTATATTTGATTTATATACTGCCATTACTTCAAGACATACTAGAGGATATTTTTCATCTCTAATATTCATAAAAGCATTCAAAGTGCCTTTCCAAAGGTGCACTTTATCACTTACTCGATCCATGATTCTCTCTGCCACATCTGGATACACAGAATGCATTCATGAATTTATTCTTTCACATCTGTTGAACATTCCTATATTCCAGGCACGATGCCAGAAACTTGGGTAGAACAGCCAAAAAGGGACAGGCTGTGTCTTCTTGGCACTTACGGTGCAGTGGGGGAGGCAAGAAACATCTCAACAGCATAGAAGGTGCCAGATCAGGATAAAGACGCTAAGAAACAGTAAACTCCACTGGGTTTGGAGGAGAACATTCTTCGTGGTCCTGCCTCCCCTAGAACATGGCAGAAACAATGATCTGCCTCCACTTACCATGGCTCATCAGATATTCTCGGAAGAGAGGACACCAGAACCAATTTGGAAGCGTGTGAAGATACGCGGTAAAGCCGGGGAACAGCTTCTTGAAGTCCGAATAATTTGTACAAAAATTTCCAAAGGCTCCGGTCGCGAGCACTCCATGGGGGTGAAACCCAAACATGTAGTTGTGACTTGGATCCAGATCCGAAGTTTTGATGAGCTACGATGCATTTATATTGAGATTAAAAAAAAAAAAAAAGTCTACTGATTAGCTTCCAAAAAGAAATAAAAGGACCCATGATTTGTTCTTATGTCAAGAGGAAATAGAGGATATGACCTGTTTTTGTTCCCTGGGTTAGAGCTGTTCCCCCCAAATTTTTAACTATTTCCAGGGCCCGGAGTCCCTCATAATATCCTTCTAAATTTTGTGTTAGCTTAGAGTCCATTCAGTAACTTGGGCTGAACTGTAAGCTTTCTCTCTGTAAAAGGGGAAAAGTTTGAAATATAGGCGATGAAAAATTTTCATTGTTCTCCCAGCTCAAAATCATACTATCTAATAAGTCTACTCACATGAATTGGAAAATAGTCCTTAAAGTGCCTCCAAATAGCCCAGCTTCTGGTCCAGTTGCATCTCCTGCCTCCTTGCTCTGGGGTATGCCAATCGAAGTAAAGCCATGTAAAATAAGGAATGTAGAGAAACCAGTAGTTGCGTAGGACCAGTATCACGAGGATTCCGACGCACACCTCCGCTGTAAGAAAGGAAAAGACCTCAGGAATCGGGCTCCGCTGGCATCTGCTCACTGTGCTGAACAATCATCAGCCCATGGAGGAAGACTCAACATATCCAAAGGGTATTAAACGGAGCCTCAGTTCAAGCCAGTAATAAAACAACATAACAATGACGGTATCGTTTAACATTTATTAGATGTTTACTACATACTGAGTATTGTGTTCGCTGTCAAAATATTTCCATTTAGTTCTCATATGGCTACAGTATCAGTGAAGAAACCACAGTATCTTCAATGTCCTTTTTATAGAAGAGGAAATGGAAGCTTAGAGAGGTTAAAGGAATTGCCCAAGCCATACAGAGTGCAAGTAGTTGATCCATCTAAATTCGAAGTTCATGGCCCTATTCGCCCTCCCTGATATGAGATATGGGGGAACTGTCATTCATAGGAGGGAGGGACAGGTGTTTACCTTGACCACGGAGGGCACATTCTAGTGACAAACTTCATTTTCAGGCACTTTATTGCCAGAGATAGAGCTAGCTCAGGAGGGACTCTACATCTCAGCTTGTTCATCGCTGTTTGCAACATTTCATAACGATAGACTGGAAGCCAAATCGTCCGTGCTCCTAATGACATAGCTTCAAGATATGCGAAACAAAGACTGACCAAATTCAGCAAGAATGTATGCCTTAAAGTAAGACATTAAGCTAAGCTAGACATTTCTTTTTATGCCTGTACTGTGTGTTACACTAAAAAATATTTACAAAGAGAGATATATCAGTGAGAGGGGAGGGAGCATAAAGACATTAAAGCTTGGCACATAGTAAGTGCTCAATAAATGCCACCTATTACTATTACTTTAAGGAGCGCCTCTGTCTCTTTCTCTTCTGCGATGTGTTGCCGGTGATCTAGTGCTGACTTCAGTCTCCAAACTCCTATCCACTCCCTATCAACTTTATTGAAAAGAGTTTTGTCCCCACACAATCCATCATGGGTAATGGCACCTTGATCTATTATTTTTTTATAGATATAGATGTAGATATAGACTTTTTTTTTTTTTGCCAAAATCAGAACACGTGTGTGTGTGTGTGTGTGTGTGTGTGTGTGTGTGTGTTTCTGGAAATATTTAAATCAATAAATTTCCCAGTATAGATTTAACCCAGTCTACGGTCATGCTACCCTGAACAAGCCCGATCCCTGGCTGATCTGGGAAGCTAAGCAGTGTCGGGCCCGGTCAGTACTTGGGTGGGAGACCACCTAGGAAGACCGGTGCTGTAGGCATAAAAAATTTTTTAACATAAGGAATTGTAAACTGACAAGGTCCTTGCAATCTGTGAGGTCAACCAAGGGTTGCCCCGCCTAAAAAAAAAAAAAAAAAGATTTAACCCAAACACAGAACTGAACTCCATCAGAGAACTGACCTGCTCTCTTCAGGGTGGGTGACAGGTTAAAAGAATGCACGAAAGGTTAACAAAGCGTGTGCCCGGCACCGTGCTGTGGGTTGTTCTGCTACATTCTTGGAACTGCCGACGATGCTTCCACACATCCAGAAGCAAGGCCAGACGGGCGTTCTCTACCCTCGTTCCCACCAGGACCATCCCTTTTCATTTCACCTGCTTCCCTCTACCTGGATCTGAGTGCTGACAACTTACCGCCATTGGCTGATTTTGTTTATTTTACTAAAATGTGCAAAACATTTCTAAGAAACGTATGCAGGTCTCATTATTCTGTACTCCAAGTGAGGTCACGTGGGCCAAGGTGGAGCAGGGAAGGGAGAGACAGGTTATTGAGAAGTGACTGTCTCCCACTGGCGACCCTCAGCGTACCTATTACTGTCCCCATTTTGCACTTGTGGAAACTGAGGCTCAGGCACTTTCACTACCGAAAGGCCTTGAACCTAGATCTGCCTAATCTGTAAACCCATGCACTTTTTTGTACAAAACCAAACCATCTCCACTTAATGGTGCTAACACCATAAACTCACAAGTATTTATTACACATGTATAAGCAAGTTCACAAGCATAAAGACAGGGAACTTAGGCGTAGCATTTGTTTTATTTTGTGGGTTTTTTTTTTTTTTTTTTTTTGCTATAATGATGGAGAACTGAGACCAAAAGCAAATTAACCTGAGCCACAGAGTCAAGAGCAGATCCAGTAATAAACGTACCCAGCTAGTGGTGTTCCACTCACCCAAACACACACATCCTCTAACTGAATACACATTGCATATCTTTCATACTTATATGTTTTGCATGTGGTTAAGACACGGTTCTGGAATTAGACTCCTTATGTTGGAATATGCCACCGACTAGCTGCTTGACCTGGAGCAAATCCTTTTACTTCTTGAGCCTCAATTCTTTTACCTGTGAAATGGGACAATAACAGCAACTCTCTCCAAGGGCTGTGCAGAGGCTAAACATAGAGATGCTACAGTTCCTGGCACACAGCAAGCGCTTGACGATGGGGAGCCATTGTTATAATAATTTTGTTTCCTATTATACATCGGGGAATGCAAAAAGTAGAAGCAGACAAATATCATCCATATTCCAGTCACCCAACAAAAACTTAAAATTTTACTTGTTGTCTTTTTTCCTAGGAACAGGTTATGTTCCTTTAACAAGGCTGATCATATATCTTTTGTATTCTGTATTTTATCACAATGATCTCACATTAGCTGTTTGGTAAGAAAAAAATATGGTAATATAATCTTCATAAACATTATTTTTAATGACTGATCAACAGTCCATTGATTGTCAGTGCTAAATCAACCATTCTTTTATTTTTTAATATTTGGGCTTCTAACAAATTTTCTCTATAAATGTACTCCTGCATAAAGTTTCCCCACATTTTGATTTACTGCCATTGGACAGTAAGTCAAATACTGGATCACTAACCAGAAACATCTTTGTCACTTGATACACTTTGATACACTTACTATCTAAAGAAGTTCTAATTTAAACTCCACTCCACACATTGCATAAGTCCTTTCATATTTCATATCATAAACAGTACCAAAAGTTTTTTAATTCCTCGATACTAAATTGGAAGCAGAAAACCCTACAGAAACTAGGTGAATAGATCATCTCTATTTTCTATTTTTATCTCATTAAGCAATCCAAAGTAACACGGTTCTTCTAAATTGGAAGTCAAAGGCTACAAGGAAGATACAAAGCCTACTCCAATATGTTCTGCAGTTTTCAATGTTAATACCTGCTAAAACTGTCTAGATTCACAAACCAAGCTACACTGAAAGCCTGAATTTTAGCTGCCTTGATTTAGGTATATCCTGGGCTAAAAAACCACAGGTCAGCCCCTTATCCCTTATACTCCCATAGACTTGACTTTCTCTAACACTGTTGGGGAAGCTGCCTCCCACCATTTTTTAATGACGTGAAATTCATACAACATAAATTAACCATTTAGAAGAAATCAATCCAGCAGCATTTAGTGTATTAATAATTTTGTACAACAACCACTTCTACTTAGTTCTAAAATGCTTAAATCATTCCAAAATAAAACACTTGTATTCATTAAGCAGTTACTTCTCATACCCCTCTCCCTTACCCCTGGCAACCAATAATCTGCATTCTGTTTTTGTATGGATTTATCTATTCCAGATATTTCATATAAATGGAATGATCCCATATGTAACCTTTTGTAGACTTTACAAAAACGTGTAAACCTCAAGTTTTTGAGGTTCATCTGTGTTGTAGCTTGTATCAAGTACTTCATTCCTTTTTATGGCTGAATAAAATTCCCGTGTATGGATACGTCGCAATTTGTTTATCTAGTCATTCGCCGATGCACATCTGGGTTGTTTTCACCGTTTGGTTACTGTGAATAGTACTGTCATACTCCCCTCACGTTAACAGTACTAAAAGTCAGAAACGAATACGGCTCAGCCAAAGGGTATGCACCATCAATAAAGGGACAAAGTGAAATATGCCTCTCGTTACGATCTAATGGAAAATACACCCTGTCGCCTATGTGGTCTTCTTGCCAAAAATGTTTAACCTGACTCTAATCATGAGGGCATAATTTGGCAACTCCAGACTGCGGGGGCCATTTCTAAAAATCAGTTATAGAATATTAAAAAACAAAAGACAAATAAAAGGAACTGGTCTAGATTTAAAGGCAAATGTAAAGACTATTAGGGAAATTTGAATATGAACCATATATTAAATAAGATTATTATATCACTGATAAATTACTTGGAGATGATAATGGGATTGTGATTATGTCTTCTTTTCAGGAGACACACTCTACAGTATTTCAAGATGAAGTACCATGATGTCTACAGCTTAATTTCTTACTTTCAAAGGTTCAAGAGCAACAATAACAACGAAGTGTGTATGTATGTCTGTGTGTACAGACAGAGAGAGAAAGCAAATGTAATGCTAAAAGTTGGTCCATAAAAGTAAAAATAATATTTACTGAGCTATTCTTTCAGTACTTCTTGAAATTTTCTAAATTAAAAGATAGAGGGAAATATATGAGTGACTCATATAACTGATAATAATGCATAGCAGGTTAAACACTGCTGCCAGGCTGGGGACCAGTTGGAACCTCACAGAAAGGCCTACATTTGCCAGAAAGTCTTGACTTCTAATCTCATCCAAGTAGAGGGAATGGTTGATCCAATGACCCACTTTTAGCTTCAAGGCTGCCTTTAGATATTCCCAGCTTTCTAGAAAAGAAGTATTCTAGCAAAATCGGGGCTGTAAATGTCATTTTTTCCCTCATGAACTGAAGAGTTTGGGCAAGGAATGGTGTCCAGGTCTACGGCTATTGGGTGGATGGTCCTTCAGAGCCCACGTGGACACTTCCCATCTCTGCAGCTCTTGGTAATGATCTTCCTCTGCTGCCTCCACCCTTTCCAATGCCAATGCACTCACCTGGATACTTAAAATCAGTGAAATTGTGCTGAATGAGAAAATACAAATTAAAATGGATTGGACCATGTCTGGCCCAGGACCAATGGTCCATCAATGTTAGCAGAATTTGAAAAGTAAATGAGTCCT